TGGAACTTGGCTGATTGGATGAGTGACCTATGAGGGGCACACAGGTTCAGGAAGGGACGGGACATGAGGGAGGAATCGCTCCCCAAGGACGAACTTTTATAGCTGCTCACAGCGGATTCATTGCTGGCAGTGCTCTTGCTGCCATCACTCATGGAACTCCGCAGGCTCTCCAAGCTGGACATGGTACTTCCAGTGACAACACTTTCTATGCTTGAGTACTTGACACTCACCCGGGGAGACACAAAGCATGACTTGATGTCTCTCTGGGATGAACTATCAAGTAAGACCTCCATGGAGGCATTGAGACTTGTGTGGCTCTCACATGGAGGTGTATTTCTACTCAAGCCAAGGTGTTCTTTGCTCGAACTCTTCTTGATGGGGAGGTTGAGGTCCTTTTGTCTTGGTGGACTAAACCAACTGGAGGGACTTTTATCTGCAATGGGAGTTTTCTTGCAGAACTTAATGGGGAGAGGAGCTGTGCCAGGTGGACTCCGCAGTTCCAGAGGTTTCGATGGCAATTTCCGTGGAATGGCCTGAGATTTGCTAAGCTCCGATCGTTCTTTCCACTCACTCTTCTCCTTCTTGGCATTTTTCTTTTGCTTCTTTACCTCTTTGAAGTAGTCATCACTGTGCATGTGGAGTGTTTCAAGATCAGCTGACAGTTCCTTGGCATTCTGGCCTTCGATATAATCCTCGATGTAGTCATCCTCATCAAGAGAATCTGACGCACGGTTGAGAATCTCATCATCACTCTTGGACAGGCCAATGGGGCGGACACGGTGCTCTGTGATGTAGTGGGTAGAGACACTGCGTGCTGGATGGGGGGTCTTTCCCCGGCCCCGGTCTCGTCGTCGGCCTTTTGGTGTGTATACGCCAACCTTGGGAGAGACAAAAGGATTCAGAATGTTCTCGTTTAATGAAAAATTGTATGACATAACTCACTTAAGTTTTAATTCACACTGACATCAAACTCTCTGAACAGAGATCTGACAATCTTATATTCCAATCACATATATAAATGTATCTATATCTAAAAAAGAAGCTATATCTAAATTCCTTAGAGCTAATAATACCCCAAAGGAAGACAGTGAATGAGTGACCCACAATCAACTAGCTACACTTCAGGAAAAGATACAAAGGGAAAAATGAAAACCAGCCACCAAAACTGGTGTTCACTGAAGAGAGGTTAGTGTTTCCTTGACATTAATGTGAATGGAATACTCACTACCCCAGCTGGCTGAGTGGAACATATGGCACACAATGTTAAAGAGCTTCCATCAATTGAGGAAGAAATCCCACAATGACCATGAAATTGCTCCCACTTTCTTGGTTTTCAAGACGCTTAGCTTCACTCTTTCCACTTCTATGACATCAAAGGAAATCAGCAGGATCAAATATTTCACAAAAATATGGGGAACTGATACACAGGAACAAGAAGTACATATCAGATACATCTCTGCTGAATACTATAACCCGTGGTCTACATTATCAATATTCAGCATACAAAAACCCTTGTTGTGCTATCAAGTTCTATGATATTTACTAGATGCCATGAAAAAAAATAACAACAAAACAAGAAAATGATAAAGAACAGTACCTGGAACTTTGGATCCGAGGAGGTCGAAGCAACGACATTACTGGAGAGGGTCCTTGACCTGTGTCCACTGTTTCCGCTGTGGTGGTGATGGTGCTGGTTGTTGTGGTGGTTATTGTTGTTCTGGCCGTTCTGCCGAGACCTCCGGCGCAGGTTAAGGAGCTGCAGGATGGGGTGGTTGGCAATGCGATCTATCAAGTCCCCTCCATCCTCGGTCTTCTTTTCCACCTGGCGGAAGCACAGTGAAGGCTGAAGTGGTGTTAGTAAGATTCTGATAATGCTTTGCAATCTTGCCCTTAAAGTAATGAGGTCAGGCTACTTAGGTTCTAACAATTATAGGGAGGTAGACTTTCTTAACAAGTCAGAAACTACTAGTGGGGGTTTTAAGGTTTATATTAATGACAATTTCTTACATCTACTATTATATGCATGCCGCTATTTTGCAAGAAGAGAACTTCTCTCTTGTATTTTGTCTTTTACAGTCACATGCATATATTTTCAATCCTCTGAGACAATAAGCAGCATATATACAAAGCTTATAACATAAGGATAATCTTATAGTCTAACTTAGAGCACTATGTATACCATAGATGAAGCACTATATACCATAAATATTTAATCTAAAAATTATAGCTATACACAAAATATAGTCAGATGCAGGAAAATACTATTTCAAAAATATTTAATCTGGAGATGATATGCTTAGAAGTTGATGTAAATTCCAAGAGAAAAAAGTTAAATAACCTTGAAAAATGCTCATTATATGATTGTTATAAAATCACTGCATCTTGTCACATTTTCTTAGTGCCCTTATTTAAGGATATCTTAGTAATCTACATTTCCAAAAACAAATATTGAAAGACATGATTTGTGTCCCAGTCTATAAACAAAACATGAAATATTGTT